AAAAAAAGTTAGACTCGAAAGATTATTTTGCATTTTCGTTACTATTTTTTTTTTTTTATTATATTATATACGCTTTCGTATTAACACCGATCCGGCGATATATTATTAAGTAATACTTTAAGACCGTATTGCGACCGTGCAATTCAGCTATATTCTCGTCTTGCAAACCCAACTTTACTACTTTAATAAAAAGTGACTCGAAAGCGAATTTAATTCGAAAAGAAGACGTATATAATAGAGTTAAAGCTTTGTTTTGTTTTGTTTATATATATAGTATTAATGCTAAGCACCTTTGTTACGTAGGTGCGCTGCATGCTTTAGCCTTGCTAAGCACGTAATTAAGTCACGTGCAAGCTCTTATATAAACGAGTAGTTGATTCTTCTTTGAACTAGCATTATATTACACATAATATAATACACGTACTTATAGCGCACATTCGAGTGTCTTTCGATCGTCTTCCCTTTCTTTTTTTATTTACTTACGATTCTATTATAGCTATATTCACATATATCTCTTGATTTGACGTTGGGTATATGTCGGAGCTCTTCCCTTCTACAATATCGTCGATAAATAATATAAAGACTTTAAGTTATAAAAGCTTTAAGATAAAATTAAATATTCGAACGAATTAAGCGATCGAGTTCGTAGCACTTGACGAAAGGATAATGCATCGAAAGAAACTTAACGGTATAAAAAAAGCGGTAAAGTCTTTATTCGATTAATAAAATGTCTATTAATCATAGCTCGAATAAAAGTCGATTAAGCTAGCTATTTAGCAATTAGAAAACTCTTCGGCAAACTCATTTATAATTAAAAGTAGATTAACGTTTTTTTACATAATTACATTGTTGCACAGTGTGGTCCTTACCTCACGTGCTCCCTTGCACGTGCTGCCAAGCTCCTTAAAGGCCACGTATTATACATGTACATATCTACAGTTGCTCTCGTGCTCTTTTGAATAGATCAGATACTTTTATCGCTATCTTTTAGACTTTGATCTGCTCTACTTACTTAAGTATACGCTATCTGTCATTATAGTTAAGAGTTACATAACTTCTACGAGCTCTTTTAATTATTACGTTAATACGGTATAGATTGCTTCGGTATTTGCAGGATTATCGTCTTCTTCTTTTCGGTCGGTAGAAGTTGTTCTCTTTTTTGACGCTCGGAGCGTTTAATAAGAGCTTTTTAAACTTTATTTTACTTTACTTATACTCTACTTCGAGCTATTACGATATATCACTTTAAAGCGCTTAACACTTTACAAATCGAGCGTTATAAATCGATTGGTTTATCGATTATAAGGCTATTGCGATAATAAAAAGCGTTTAAAAGCTTGCAGACTTTTATTCGAAGGAAACTTAGCTTTACATCTTTTCTTTAAAACCGCTAGCGCTATTTACGATTAACGACTTGATCGTTAAAGAAAACGAGCGGAAAGATAATTTTATAAAAGAATAAAAAAAAGCGCTTTTAGTTATTCGTAAAGACCGCTTAATGCTAAAAGGTGCGAGTTTTTAAAACGTTAAGAAAGAGTTTGCATACCGGTCGAGAAAGTACTTTAAAAAAGAAGCGCGCTAAAGCGCTTTGAACTTTAAATACTAATATATACTAGAGTAAGTAAATCAAACGGTCTTAAAAGAGCTATTGCAGCTTTATAAAACTCGTTTGATTTAGGCTGCTCCATGGGGCCCCATGGGGCCCCACGGAGTTTTGAGTCCTCCCTACGGGGGAACCCACGGGGGGTACAAAATTCTGCCCTTCTCCATAAGGAAGCCCTATGGGGCGTAAGGTTACTTTATGGGGTTTATATATATAAAAATATGCATATGCATAATTACTAATCAGGTTTACTAATCACATTTACTAATCACATTTACTAATCACATTTACTAATCACATTTATTAATCACATTTACTAATCACATTTACTAATCACATTTACTAATCAGAGACTTAGAGTATTAATCAAATTTACTAGTTACAAAGGCTTAAGGGTTAATAAAGACCCGTTCTTTAGCTTAAGTCTACTAGTTACAAAGAGTTGATAAAGACCCGTCCTTCTGCAGTTACGTAGAATACG